TATCGAAAATTGTTTACAAAATTTACGTATTGTTGATCGTAATACACAATTATAATATAATGATTATTATATATAGATAAAATTTATAACTGGCATTTGAATCATAGAAGTATACATAAAATATTATTACATAAAATGCAGTTGTGTAATATTTTTAAAGTAATATTCTTGAGGCTTCCATGGATACTTTCTATATAAAGATTATGTGTTTCGCGAGTTTTCTCCGTGTCTAGATTCAGTAGTAGAAGTATCAGGTTGCTCCTCGCCCTGATGAAGTGGAAGGTTCCTGCAAAGTTCACGAAACGTTGGCATTCCAAGAATGGATCTGGACATTCAAAACGCATAATCTTTATATTTTTGAAGTGTAACATATTTATGTATTTTATATAGATTCATTAGCATTTGCCAAAGTGCGCGAATGGTTCCCATAGTAGAACCGGAAATATTGACTAATAGCGAATATGATATAGATTGGATTTTACAAGTTCACGAAGAGATGTTGTCCATCCTGTTTCGTGTTCTGAATGAATATCATGTGTATCTAGAGGAAATGATTATGAAACCAGCAATGGTACTGTCGGGTATAAAAAACGCAATAAAGTGCACGCCGCAGGCATTTAATTTATTTTAATAGAATACAAAGCGAATTATAATCTTTCTCTAATAATATATTTTTATTGAATATATTTGCTCTTAAACATTATCGCGATTGTTGCTCAGTATATGCTAAGAACATTACAAAGAACAATATCCATAGCAGTTCCAGCAATTTTTTTTCTAAGCGGTAATCAAACCGATGAAGAAGCTGTATTAAATCTAAACGCCATTAGCGCATGTGATAATAAAATGGATGATCAGTTTCTACTATGGACGTGTTTTGCAGGTGTCTTAAAATTTATTTAAGTCTAAATAGAATTTGTTATATTTACTGATATATCTATTAATTCTTTGATAAATTTTAAACTGATAAAAACAATAAGTTCTACTTATTATCTGCTTTATTAGAATATGGCAATGAAAATTTGGAAAAACAATTCGGAAAATGTAGATAAGGCTCAACAATGTTTCTTAAAAGGTATAATTATGCTGCGAAGCATCTTTGAGAAAATTACGAGTTGAAGACAATATGTATTCGAACATATAAAACAAAAAGGAAATTAAAAACTCGAATTAAAGAACATAAGATTGACATAAGAAGATCCACCTCTAAAATACCAGTGGTTTCACGCCACCAATTGAATGAGATGCACGAATTGGATTGGGATAATTAGAATTTTAGATACGGAAATCATTATTTAAAAGAAGAATTTCTGAAATAATATACATAAAAAGCCAAATAGTATTAATAAGCAAAATGACACTGAAAGTTTGTTTGTTTGTAATTATACAGCACATTCATAAAATTTTATAATTTTATAATTGCCAGGAAAATTAACATAATACAAGTACTTTAAATATGTGTACATATATATATATATATATAGTAAACTCTATATATATATACTTAAAGAATAATTTTTAATAAATAACAACATGAAAGTTATTAGGTGTTGGAATTAATTCGTAGCGTTTTTTAATGAAAGAATGTTATTTATTTCACATGAGCATTAAAAAATACATTAATGAAAGTACTTCCCATCACTTGTAAAACGCTACGAATTAATTCCAACACCTAATATAATTATAATTATTTTGACAAAATGTATGGACATAATGTAAGCGAGAATTCTTTATTCTAAATTTTTCAAAAATCAGATATATGATGTATATGAAATTTCATTATAAATAACAATAAATTATTTAGAACATATATAATACTAAAGCTAATAGTATAAATTAATTGAACACTCAATATTAAAAATAATAGATAAGGGCTAGTACACAGTTATTATTAATGTACGTTACAATTCTTCTTCACCTACACATATTTACGATTTTCAACTGTTTTTTTCAGAAACGTCGAAAATATATGTACAGGTGAAGAATAAAGAAGAATTGTAACGTACATTAATAATAACTATGCACTAGCTCTTAGTTGCCAATTGTTTTTGTAATATTGTTACTAAAGATGTCTACGAAAACAATTTTTTTTAATAGTTTCTTGTATATATACTCTCTAAATTCTTTGGAGTGGAGTTCATCTCACTCTAGAATAAAAATTGAGCCAGCTTTAAAAACAAACGGCTCAATTTTCATTCTTTAAAAATGAGATTCTATCTAAGTTTTAGAGAATAACTTTTATCAAATCCCATATATCAAAGACGGATAGACTATAAATACGCCATCATTGCATTCATTATCGTCAGTACATTTTCATATACTTGACAATATTCAGCAAACGAGAATAGATTAAAATGAATTGAAATGGATTAAAATTTTCAGAAATATTGATTCGCGAATGTTAAAATGAATGCTTTTCAATCCTGAATGCATTTTTATTCATTTATAGGAATTGCATGGAGCATATCTCTATGCCTTTCAATCTAAAAATAATATTAGCTTTTTCTGTGCATTGTGAATACTGTTTAATTTAAAATTTTGAATAGGAAATGCAGTTTTTCAATCCAATTACATCAAATTGAATCTAATTGAATCCAATTGAATCCAATTAAATCCAAAAAAAGTATTCGCTATTTATAAAATACGTATTCGGATAGAAAAAAATTTTAATCCATTTTAATCTATTCTCGTTTGCTGGGTATACAAAATTTTGAACACATCATATAGACATATGTAATATGAAAAATTGGAGACAATAACCTAACGAAAAAAAATCGTATCACTTGATTAGCTAAGAATCAGTGATCGAACCCATCCAGCAAACGAGAATATATTAAAATGGATTAAAATGTTTTTAATGAATACTTTAAATTCATGAAAATGGATTGAATGATTGAAATGGATTGGATCCGTGCTGACACTAGTTTAATATTCGAAAAAAAAAACATTCATATTTAAGGGTTACAAATTTTATTTCTAAGACATTTATAATAATTATATCTGAAATTAACTATTTCAAATTGATATTAAAAAACCTTAGTAGGATTCAAACTTGGGACCTCTGGATTATGAGTCTTCTACGTTACACTACTTCTTCAATTGGTTATTCATTCTTTACTTCAATTACAACCAGCTAAATCAGTGCACAAAATTATATAAATATAATAAAAATATCATAATTTTAGCAAATATAATAAAATATACATAATTTACATTTCTACGAGATAACATTGGGTAAGTATTGGATAATCTCGCTTGGTCGATGTTGCTGTGATTAGTCTAATATTCAAGTTGTGTTCGACTTGATTTGCGAGTGTTCATATCAATCATTCATTTTACTTCTAATCAAAGAGAAGCAAAAGAACATAGCTCAATTATTTTTACATTACAACTTTTTTTTAACTTAGTTGGATTAAAACGAAAAATTTCCTACTTATAATTTTGAATAATTTAAGTAGTATTTATGATCTATTTTTAAATAAAATTTTTTTTTTATTCAGTTAGATTGAAACTGCATTTCATATTCAGAATATTGAATTTAGTAGTATTCATATTGCATAGAAATTGCTGATATTATTTTTGAATTTAATTGAATTAAAAAAACTATACTTTCTATTCACAATTCTGAATTGAGTAGTATTCACGATGCACAAAATACTAATATTATTTTTAGATTGAAAGGCATAGAGATATGCTCCATGCAATTCCTATAAATGAATAAAAATGCATTTAGGATTGAAAAGGATTCATTTTAACATTCATGAATCCGATATTTCTGAAAATCTGAATTTATTTTAATCCATTTCAATTTTTGCATTCTCGTTTGCTGGGCACTTAAGTAATAAACTATCACGCATGATAAGACAATCTGGTGGTTAAGAAAAAAAGAGACGTACGTTTAACAATATTTGTAATCATATGAATATTTCAACCTTTAACACTGCTTAAAAAATTTCATCAGTTTCGAGAAAAATGTTAAGCAAGTGCCCTTGACTGACCTCTAAAATAACGGTTCTCAATGCAACGCTCGCATTTATGGACTTGCCCGTCTACTGGTCGATATGTCGTCATCTATCTTCGGCAAACTGCTTAGACTATGCTATAACGTCCTCCTTCCTGGTTTCTGAATAACTCATTATCACGTGGTACACCAGGAACGTAACAGATATGTGCTGCGAAATAGTATAGTGATCTCTCACAATTCAAGAAAATTGCTCAAACACTAAACTTTTATTCGTAAAATAATATTTCTAATCGAGTCCAGCAAACGAGAATGAATTAAAATGGATTGAAATTTTTTTCTATCCGAATGCGTATTTCAAATACCGAATACTTTTTTTGGATTTAATTGGGTTCAATTGGATTCAATTAGATTCAATTGGATGCAATTGGATTGAAAAACTGCATTTCCTATTCAAAATTTTGAATTGAACAATATTCACAATGTGCACAGAAAAAGCTAATATTATTTTTAGATTGAAAGGCATAGAGATATGCTACATGCAATTCCTATAAATGAATAAAAATGCATTCAGGATTGAAGAGTATTCATTTTAACATTCATGAATCAATATTTCTGAAAATCTGAATCCATTTCAATTCATTTCAATTCATTCTCGTTTGGGAAGATAATATCATATATTATTTACATTTATTTCATAATCTATGAAATAAATGTTTCGGTGCTATATTCTATCAGTGATGGTTTTTGATAAATATTAAATAATAATAATAATAATAATAATGCAGCCAAAATAATTAAATTATGTTTTATATTACACATTTGTCTGTATAAATTTTTCAACTTACTGTTACATTGAATTTTACAGATTTATTACGTTCACTTTTTAATTCCAGTTTAAAGTTATATGGCGAAAGCCAATCGGTTAATTTCTGTCCTGTCTTTATGACATAATGTCATAAAGTTGAGCACCCTCGTATACAAGAGTTAGAGCGCACGCGCGCCATAAACATACAATCAGACTTTGAAACCGACAACAGCTGGCGTAGCCTTTCTCAGTCATACTCCAACCATCAGGTGAATTATACAGGCGCTCGCGCAGCTTCCACATACGAATTTGTTCTCATTTACAATTAGGTGAGTTACTTCGTTTTTACAACGAAAAACATTGTGTATCCATAATACATGCCCTTACGCGTACCTCCCTAGGTATCGATCGTTTGCCTCGAGGAATATCTGAAATTTTATACTCAATTTATCTATAACAACCTTTAACCTTGACTGACATTTCGTCGCCACTATTATCGTACACGATTTATCCACTTGTTATTCAATGATAAATACCAAATATCAATGACAAGTCTTGCCTTTATATTACCATCAAAATTCTTATATTCTCCGTCATGACTTCGAAATTATTATACATAGTTGCCACACGTATGACCCACTCCCTTTATACATGAGTATGTAAGTATAATAATTATTAAATAAGATCTTTTTTAAAAGAAATCTCTTTTTTTTGCAACGTGAATGTCTCGATAAATATAGTCGAGCAATAAGTTGGAGCAATTTTTCTTACATTTTTCTATTAAGAGAAAAAGTGTTAAATATGTATTTTATTTTATAAATTAGATTTTACGTCAATTAAATATCTTCATTATTACATAGATACCAGTTTTATGTGTCTATAATAATAAAATAAGTTCATTAATAATAAAATAAAACAAGTTCATTATTTCATTCTAAGTCATTATGTCACTAGTCGAACATATTGTATTAGTATAACATAATCGTATATTAACAAATATATAATATTTATACTCCAATAGAGGCAATAGAGAAATATTTTATTATAAAGTAAACTGAAAATAACAAAATTATCGAAAAGATATATACATATTTTAATAAAAAAAATGCGTTTAATATTTTACGTATATGAAGTTATTCTTATAAACACACACGCACACTCACATTCACACACGCACACGCACACGCACACGCGACATATATATAAGAATAATTTCATGTACGTAAAATATTAAATATATTTTTTTTATTCGAAGACACTACAGGGTTGGCCATATTCGACGGAAAGATCTAGCAAACACTGTAACTTTTGACAGAGATGTTAGATCGAGTAACGACGTTTCCCATGATTGAAAAAAAAAACATCTTTCCGTCGAATATGGCCAACCCTGTATATAATAAAGAAGAAAACATATTACACTATCAAATGAATTTTAAGATTTTCATTACATTTATTTAAAAAGCGTACATATATACATAGTGTACATATATAAAAATAAATGAAATGTCTTTCATTATAAAGTAGAGAAATATCTGTGCCTTAAAGAATTATAATAAGAGTGAATATTATATCATAATATTACATAACTAATATGTAATATTATGCCATTTTTATAAAGAGTCGGAAAAATTTTTCCACGTGCAGTTGTGTATGTACAGCATCAAATACAGTAATATGCATTGCATATATAGATACTAGCTTGATCAAAAAGTTTCCGGAATTCATTCAGAAAATTCAAAATACAAGTTTATTCATCAAAAGTGATATTGTCTCCTTCAAAGTACTCTCCAGCGACTGCAACGCACTTATGCCAGCGCTTGATCCAGCTCTCGAAACATTTCTGGAACTTTATTATTGGTATAGCTATCAGAGCCGTCTTCGATTTTTCCATTACCTCCTTTCGGCTGTTAAAATGCGTTCTCCGCAGGTTTTTTGACTCGATCGAACAGAAAAAAATCGCAGGGAGCCATATCGGGTGAATTCGATGGCTGTTGGATGGTATTCGTTGTTGCAAACTCGTTGTTGCAAATTCAACTCCATTTTTAAAACTATAAAAAATCGAAAACACGCGCAGAGGTAGATGTACGCAAGACGGCGTAATTTTTACAAATGTCAAACTATGGCGATAAAATTTGATGGAAATGTCAATGATAGATGTGGCAACCTAGCCAAAAAAAAGAACTCAAATCAGCTAACTCAGAGCATCACCTGGTGGTCTCTTCCGGAAACTTTTTGATCAAGCTGGTATGTATCATTATGATAGGTAATAGGGCATGCTCGTATTCTGTTACAAGATCAATAATTTAAAGCGCTCTCAATCTCATCAATTCCCTCTCAGAAAGTTTGGTAGATTTATTTTCGAAAATTTATTATTGGCTCAATCCAATTTCAATTAATCTATTTGGTAATTTATTAAATACTAATAATTTAAATACAATTTAAATATAATTAAATCACAGAGGATACATATGTTTTCTCTGTGAAATTTAATATTATCTAATTTAATATTACATATTCTATCTAATTTAATATTAAATTAGATAAAACATTAAATTAGACTAATATATTTAAAAAACTTCAGCACATGCTAAAAGGCAAAATATAATAAAAATTATTACTGAACTTTTAATTAACACAAGTAAAATTATTATTAATTAAGTATGCGATTACTATACGGAGAAAAATATTTGATTGAATTAACTGGAGTGAAAAATAAACGATTCAGAATTCTGCTTAAATCTAGAATTCTAGTTGAGATAACTAACATTCAGAATTTCCTTGATGATTAAATCTACTAGAATTCTAGTAGGTATAACCAGAAGTATAATACATTTAACTAGAATTCTGAATTCTTCATTTTCCATCAGAATTCCAGTTAATTCAACCAAATATTTTTCTCTGAATATATATAAAATTATATACACAGCGTGTTTGGAAAATAATGATAAATCTTTCGCATAGGAGCAGAATAGACTAAACTGAGAAGAAAAGGCCTTTACCAATTTACAATTTTAGCAATATTTAACAAGATATTAATTGCAAAAAATTGCCGAAAATTGGTCTTCAATAATTTTTTATTCAAATACTATTAATTTTACAGAAAAACTGCAAGAGATAAAAATTGTTTATTTTCTTCGTATAGAATTTCTCTAAGAATTTTTTAAGAATTTTTTATTAACTTTTTAGGACTGCATTTTCTTATTTTTATCAACATGAAAAAATATATAATAGTACTAAAATTCTGAAAAAATTCTGAAAAAAACTCTTCTCGGAATTTTATGAGAAGAAAATAAACAATTTTGGTTCCTTATAGTCTTTCTGTAAAGTTGATAGCATTTGAGTAAAAAAATATTGAAGACCAATTTTCAGTAATTTTTAGCAATTAATATCTTATTAGCTATTGCTAAAATCGTAAAATGATAGAATTCTTTTCTTCAGTTTAGTCTATTCTGCCCCTATACGAAAGATTTATCATTATTTTCCAAACACCCTGTATATACATACATACATACATACGTACATACGTACATACGTACATACGTACATACGTACAGGATGTTTGATGTCCCGTAAGTTTTAGCCAATCGCTTTTGTGTAGATAGAGCGGACTAAACTGAGTCGAAAAGTCCTCATTTTGCAATTTTCGTAATAGTTAACAAAATATTACTAAAAATTGCCAAATATTGGTCTTTAATAATTTTTCACTCAAATACTATCAACTTTACAGAAAAATTGCAAGAGACAAAAATCATTTATTTTCTTCTCATAAAGTTCTGAGAATTTTTTCAGAATTTCTTCAAAATTTTTTAATACCGTATTTTCTCATGTTGATAAAAACCTTGGGTAAAATGAGAAAATGCAGTACTAAAAATTTGACAAAAAATTCTGAAAAAATTCTTAGAGTTCTAAGAGAAGAAAATAAATGATTTTTGTCTTTTGTAGTTTTTTTTGTAAAGTTGATAGTATTTGAGTAAAAAATTATTTAAGACCAATATTTGGCAATTTTTAGTAATTGACCTTGTTAACTATTGCGAAAATTTTAAAATGGTAGAAGACTTTTCGACTCAGTTTAATCCGCTCTATCTACACAAAAGCGATTGGCCAAAACTTCTAGGACACCCTTATATATAAAAATAAATTATTATCTATAAACAAATATCGTTTGTGCAATCCGATGCTTGTATATACTTGAATATACAGAATTATTTTAGACGACGAAACAGTTGTATATGTCAAATTATTAACGAAACACATGTATGCATACATTAGACTGTATGTCGTATGTATTGTATATATACGAGATGTATCATCAACTACCGCATTTCCTATTAAGAACTTATTTTTGAAATAATTTTCAGACGAAAATCCTAATACGAAAATATCGAGGCTGTAAAAGTAATTAAAAAATAGTTTTTGAATTACACACTATCTTTAACTAATTATAAAATAAAAAATTATTAGCCTCAACATTTTCATGATGTTGTTTCATGATATTTTTTTGCTTCTATTTTTATCATTTGATTCTTCAAAATTCGATCAGTTCAACAAGATAACTGTAATATAACATACTTATATTACAGTTATCTTGTTGAGCTGACATTGCATGTTACATTTACATTACATGTAACATTGTGTTTACTGGGATTGATTTGGAGCAATCCATTATTCATTTGTCTTAATTACATAATTTCGTTATGTAACTTTGTGACATAATTTTTTCCAACAAGGAAAAATATCGTGTGTGTGTGTGTGTGTGTGTGTGTGTGTGTGTGTGTATGTGTATGTGGATGTGTATAAGAAAGTACATTACAATTATGATAATCCAGTCAAGTAATTATTACCTTACAGTAAAGTAAATTATACTGTATTCTCAAGATTATAAGCATGAATATCTCTCAAGACATAATTCATACATTTGTCTTGTTTTTTTATTGTACAGTAAAATAAATTTTGACAATGCTAAGATAAAAAAGACTTATCGATAAAGTAAATTCGGTTGAGATGTATGATAAATTTATAGTTTTACTTTTATGAAATATAAAAAGTACCTTATCTTAATATATGTAGATATACGATAATTACACATTTACCAGAAAAATAAAGTAAATTTTACATAAGTAGAGGCTATCCTTATATGGAGTTCTGTCAATTTTATAAAATGTACTAGACATTTAGTGTATGTATTACTTTACATTTTTCTCCGTTCGTATATATTCTTCAATTTCATAAAATTTACTAAAATTTTAGTGTATATATTAGGTGTACAACTTTGCTTCCGCCATTTTTCTATAGATGGCTTTAGCGGTAAGTAGTGGTCGAAATAAATAGATCATAGAGGACATACAATAAACTTGGGCATCTATCAACATAATCCCATAGAAACATTAATCGATTTGTGTCTGCATCATAAAGTTATCCTCGATTGAAAATGTCAGTTTACAAGTCAAATTCTCATCATTTGCGGGAGGTTTTAATTTTCTGCTTCAATATGAAGAAATCTGCGGCCGAGGCTCATCGAATGCTCTCAAATACTTATGATGAGACCGTTATTAGTGAAAGAATGTGTCGTGAGTGGTTTCAACGGTTCAAGAACAGTGATTTTGACGTCGAAGACCGGCATAGCGGTGGAAGAGAGAAGGTTTTCGAAGATGCAGAATTGGAGGCATTACTTGATCAAGACTCGTGTCAAAATCAAGAAGAATTGACACGATCATTGGGAGTGATTCAACAAGCCATTTCAAAACGCCTCAAAGTCATGGGAATGATTCAGAAGCAAGGAAATTGGTACCGTACGAGTTGAAGCCGAGAGATGTTGAACGACGTTTGTGAACAGCTGCTTGAAAGGCAAAGACGGAAGGGATTTCTGCAACGCATTGTGACTGGGAACGAAAAATGGGTTCATTATGATAACCAAGCGCAGAAAATCATAGGGAGAATCCCGGCCATGCTTCCACGTCGACAGCCAAATCGAATATTCACGGCTCCAAGGTCATGCTCTGTATTTGGTGGGACCAACTCGGCGTAGTGTATTACGAGCTGTTAAAACCGACTGAAATAATCACAGGCGATCAGTATCGAACGCAATTGATGCGTTTGAGCCGAGCATTGAAAGACGGCCGCAATACAACGAGAGACACGATAAAGTGATTTTGCAGCAAATGACAATGCTCGATCCCATGTTGCGAAAGTGGTCAAGACATACTTGGAAACGTTGAAGTGGGAAGTCCTACCCCACCCGCCGTATTCTCCAAACGTTGCTCCCTCTGACTATCACTTGTTTCGATCAATGGCACACGGCCTGACTGACCAGCACTTTTGGTTATGAAGAAGTAAAAAATTGGATCGATTCGTGGATCGCCTCAAAAGATGACCAGTTTTTTCGACGCGGGATTCGTACGCTGCCTGAAAGATGGGAGAAAATGGTGGCCAGCGATGGACAATACTTTGAATCATAAATGTATAACCAGTTTTTTACAATATAGCCTCGAATTTCGGAAAAAAACGACGGAAGCAAAATTGTATACCTAATATAATATTATTTTACATTTTTTCTGTGTATACATTGTATCAAACTCATTTACCGTTTTTTGCTTATTATAATTTTTTACATAAGAAAATACTCATTTTTTGCTATATTATAGTACAACAATTATAAAATGTAATAGCATCACAAAATTTCTGAAAATCTCTAAAAAGAAGAAGATAAACTTATACATAAAAGACGTTTATATTTTGAATTTTTCTACATATAATAGTAAAAAATTAATACACATTTCCTTCAATTCTGGCAGTTGTGAACATCATTTATTTCATATCAGTAGCTTGAGCTATTTCGAGTTTCACTAGAAAGTACATAGTTTTAATAATTCTTTCACCTTCGCACTTTTTTTCAATAATTCTGCATAGCGACATCTATTATAAAAATACAGTTGGTCTAAATATATCGTATCGTTATGCGGTCTGGCAAGTTATCAACTTCTATGTCTACACTGTGCATTTGTTTTCTCGTTGATGATGCAATTTATGTCCGCATATGTGTGTGCCGCTTAAAAAAAGACTCTTAAATCTTTCCTTTCACTTTCTGAAGTTTGTCATGATGCAGAATTCATAAATAGATGTATGTATATTACAAATCGTTTTTTTATATATATGTATATTACAAATCGTTTTTTTTCTAATGTAAATTTATCAAAAACTTAAATTACTTTTTAATTATATATTTTTGGACCTAGATTAGTCCTAATAAACAATAAGATGTGATTTAAATTAATAATGTAAACATTGCCTATTAATCTATAATACTTACATTGTAATCTATTAAAATATTGTGAATTCGACTATATCCAAAATCTAAATATATGTATATCTACATCGCGTAGCGAATGTGCCAAGCAACGAATGTACACAAGACTGTTATCAGGTTCACACAATGTTTCGCAATGTTGAACCTTGCGGATACGGATCAGCTAAAAAAATAGCGCAAACGCATCGCAAGTCTTCATCAAATAACCGTGCATATAATTCGTTGTTATGTTTTGACCGTTGGACAGATTCGAATGCGGAAAGCTATCAATGATACGACAAATCGCTTCTTTAAAAATTGTTCTAATTGTCTTACTGAGTTAGTATGTATATATATTCGTATTAATTATTAATTATTTAAAAAGATAAATCCGTACATGAAATATATGCAACAGATATCTTCAATTTTCTTTCTCTTTATTTTTATGCATTGTATATTAGAATATTTTTCTAATCATACGTGTTAAGAAGGGAGGTATCAATATAAATATATCAAATCTTGCTAAAGGCCACAAATGTTTGTTTGGCAAATACTCTACTTTCAATCTTATTCATCACACATCTTAATTACACATTTTCAGTAAATTTGGAATATTACATTAACGTAATCTGAATAAGTATCGTACAAAGTCGTTTTTTTTCATTTATGGTTCAGCAAACAATTGTCATTTAATTTGGCATAGCAAATAACTTATCGTATTGCACCATAGAATGCAAGATCAATTTACACAAGATCGCGTAATACATAGCTAATATCTGTATAGGTAATATCTGTAGAAATATTACCTAATTACGTCAAAATATCAGAAAACAACGCGTCACAAATATTTCACTTTCCTTAATTCTCCAGAATTATTTCATACAATACATTCGATACTGACAATGAGAGTTCAATGCTCTAAGAAATTATCATTGCTTAGTTTTACTAGATGATATAATCACTTTCAATTTTTACAATATTACAAGTGATTGATGTCTCTAATCGTATTAATTAGAACAAGGAAATTATTAAAGTTACGGATTGCTGAGTAATCAAATTTTTTTTGGTGAATTGATGGGTGTTAGTAATTTCAAATGATCTATATAAATAGATTATTTTATTTACTTTTAGAATGGAGAAGAAAGGAGGTTATGATTGTTAACAATTCAAGTTAATTTTGTGTGGTTTATTTCAATCTTCGATTGGATTAGGATGCAGTTTGCTCAATATTATGAGGATTCATAATTTTAATTGTATGAAAGCTTAACTCAATACAATTATATATTGGATAATGAAGTATTCTTTGTATGTTGCAGAAAATGGTTGCGGAAAAGTATAACAAACTTGAACCCGAGCTGAAAGAAGAATTACGCACGATTGCCCAGCAGATCGTGACACCTGGTAGGGGTATCCTGGCTGCTGATGAGTCGACTACAACGATTGGCAAACGTCTTCAAGACATTAAAGTCGAAAATACTGAGGAAAATCGCAAGGCTTACAGACAACTACTTTTCACTACAGCGAAAGTATGTCTAGATAATGATTAATAAAAAACTTGCACAAATTCTTGTATAAACATTTAATTTATATAATGTAAAATATTAATTATTTTTATATAAAGATTATGCGTTTTGCGGGTTTCGTCCGTATCCAGATTCATTCTTGGAATGCCAACATTTTGTGAACCTTGCAGTCTACTTCATCATGGGCGAGGAGCAGCTTGATACTGAGCTGTTCCTCCGGATCGCTCCTTTTTTATATTAAGCTTGTTGGAGTGATGGGGGGAAGAAGAGAATTGTGGTGGGGATGGGAGGAGAGGTAAATTGGTCAGTCTTCAATAACTGGAAGAATGATTTTCTATATTTTATTTATGTTGTAACCATTATTTCTATTTATATTGTTAGGGTGTTTTTGTATCTCTATGGCTTCTCTATACTTTCTTGGAAAATATGATGTTGATTATTGTGGTCGTTTTGTCAAACAGTATTTGATGTTCTGTTTCGATATTGTGTTCTGATAATGCTGATTACGTGACGTGTTTTAGCTTGACATCACGTTAGCGTTCTTCTATCCGTAGGTTGACCATTCTCCCGATTTCTCCAATGTATACTTGCCCGTAGAAGATATTTTGTATACTCCTGCGGAGCTGAATGGAGGACCTTTGACCTTTAAGATTTTCTTAAGATTTGTCCTATCTTTTTAGGTGGATATTGTTTAAACTATCTTTAAAGATAGTTGGATATTGTATTTGTTTAATATCCTGTCAATTCGATCTGTTATTCCTTTGACATATAGGAGAATGGATAGGATCCTTTCATCTGATTGTGTATCAGAGACTGTTGTCTTGTTTACATGTTTATTAATTGTTTTGATTATGTCTTTTGTCGTGTCCGTTTTTCTGTAAGAGGTCTAGTTTTAAGATTGAGTTTTGATTGAGTTCTATAGATGTTCTTTGTCAAAGATGGTAAAAGCTCTATGTACAAGTGAGTTGATTGCAGACTGTTTTTGTCCTGGATAGCGACTCGACATGTAGGTATCTATCTATGTGTAGATTTTCTGTACACTTGATGCTCTAAGGTACCGTTAGTTTTCTTAGAGACAAGAATATCTAGGAAGGGGAGTTTCCGTTTTTCTCTATGTCTATAGTGAAGTGGATATTTGGATGTTGATTGTTGAGGAAAATAAGAAATTTATGGAGATCGGCTCGGTCGTGTCTCCATATCACGAATGTGTCGTCTACATAACGGAATTAAACTTCTGGTTTTTTGAGTGTTTTTCTGAGGGTCTCTTTCTCAAAATGCTCCATGAAGATGTTGGCGATTACAAGAGAAATAGGAGGCCAAAGGCCCAACTTCGCAGTGGCACCAGAAGATTCCAAAGGAAAAGTTTATCAGCCAAATAGAATCAACCATCTACCGACTCCCATCAGAACAAGCAGATAATATCCGCAGACAGGTAATCAATATCCTTTCCAAAGCCAAACCTTTTCCACCAAACATCACTAGACAAGAGCGATCGGCCCTCCAGATCTGAACAGAGACACAGACATCATGCTTCCAGTCGATAAAAGCAATACGACAGTAGTCATGAACATATCAGATAAGAAAAAGATGAAGAACTTTCTCTTGGACAAAGCATACAAAAAGCTTGATAAAGATCCAATTAATATAATTGCACAGAACATCAAGATCCTGGTGGAAAAAAGCAACATTTGCAGTAAAACCAAATCAATATTAAAATCTACAAATCCTCTTCCACCAAGACTATACAGACTACCAAAAGTACACAAACCAAACATTCCCCTCAGACCGATTGTCAGCGCTATACACTCCCCGACATACAACTTATCCCGCTTCCTAGCACAAACACCTACACCTACAACCCCTCACTTGGCATTCCAAGAATGGATCTAGATATGGAGGAAATTCGCGAAACGCATAATCTTTATATGGAAAGCAGCTTCCCGCGGAAGCCTCAAGAATATTACAATATTATTTTTATTATTAGGTGTTGGAATTAATTCGTAGCGTTTTTAATGAAAGAATGTTATTTATTTCACATGAGCATTAAAAAATACATTAATGAAAGTACTTCCCATCACTTGTAAAACGCTACGAATTAATTCCAACACCTAATAAAACTTTAGTATTTGCAATATTTTTTTGTCGTAATTTCGTTGCAATATAGAAAATATATTGCGTATAATATATTTGACATTGCTTCTTTTCAGGATGTTATCGGACAGCACATTTCTGGAGTGATCCTTTTTCACGAGACTCTCTATCAAAAGGCCGACGACGGTACGCCGTTCGTTGAGTTACTGAAGCAACGAAATATCATCCCCGGTATTAAAGTCGATACAGGTGTTGTTCCGCTCTTTGGTACGAATGATGAATGCACGACCCAAGGTCTCGACGACCTCCAAGCGCGTTGTATCCAGTATAAAAAGGATGGATGTCACTTCGCTAAGTGGCGATGCGTATTGAAGATCACGAAAGATACCCCAAGCAAACTCGCCATTATGGAGAACGCCAATGTGTTGGCCCGTTATGCTTCAATCTGTCAAAGTGCCAGGATCGTACCCATCGTAGAGCCTGAAATTCTTCCTGACGGTGATCATGATCTCGCCCGTTGTCAACAAGTCACAGAAGAGGTTCTTGCAGCCGTTTACAAGGTATCTTAAGCTTCCGTTAGAAAAAAAAAGATTGTGAATTTTGCGAATTTATTATTAGATAATTAATATACGCTCCAATATGCATTTATTGTTAGGCACTCTCAGATCACCATGTATACCTCGAAGGAACACTGTTAAAGCCTAACATGGTGACACCAGGTCAAAACTGTCCAACGAAAGCAACTCCTCAGGAAATCGGTGCTGCTACGGTGACAGCGCTGTTACGTACCGTGCCACCAGCGGTACCTGGCATCACTTTTCTCAGCGGTGGTCAATCTGAAGAGGAGGCATCAGTCAATCTTGATGCTATTAATAAATACCCGGCAAAGAAACCTTGGGCATTAACTTTCAGTTATGGACGTGCTCTCCAGGCTTCCGTACTTCGTGCTTGGCAAGGCAAGATCGACAAGGTCGCTGCCGGACAAGAGGAGTTGCTTAAGAGAGCTAAGGTAAGTGAAAATGTACTACGAAATTAATAGATATTTAATTTATTCTTACTGTATGTGTAAACTTGAATTTGCTCCATCTCCATCTTCTTATTTTATTTGTTTTTTACTTTTTGCATTTATACATAATCATTTACTAGTTGTCTGCCTTTGATCTCTGTTTTATTTTCCTAAGTGATGATTTGCTATTTTAACATTTGTGTTTAGAATTATTTTTACATTTTTATCTTATTTTTTATGTATACTCACTAGCTTTTCTTTTAGAAAAATAGTTTTTTAATTCTGTAGTTGTCGTGTTAAATCGCACGGAGCACTCGGAGCTACGCAAAGTTGCATCATACTTACTTTTGCATGTCTATGTAATATGCGCTTGTTTAGGCAAACTCTGCAGCCAGTCAAGGCAAATACGTCGCTGGTAGCGTTTCTAGCAAAACCGCTGATGTCTCTCTCTACATTAAATCTCACGCCTACTAAAAAAAAAATTATATTTTCCGCACAGCCTGTTTCTTGTGGCAGTAAGTACATAGTAAATAATATGTATATACGTACGTACGTGTGCGTGCGTGTGTGTATGCGTGCGCGCGCGCGCGCGTGTGTGTGTGTGTGTGTGTGTAGGTTTTTTCGTAAATCGATTCTTATCTTTAAGTAATCATCTTTTGTTCTCTTTATACAATACGAAAATCTACTTACTTCCAAAAAAAAAAAATGGTACATTAAAAATTGGGGAAAAATTTACTAAACTTTGAACGATTATAACTTATCAAAATAAAAATAGTTTAAAAATATGAAATGAAGTTTGAAGTATCCATTTAAGAATATTTGATAAGAATTATACTGGACTATTATTTGTTCCATCTTTTGTTTGTGCGTACATATTTTTCTAAATTTAATTCTTTCTTCTATTCATTCTCTTTTATTATCCGACAAAATATGTATTAAAAGTAACTTTAACAAAAGCTAATTTTATAAATTCACATAGAATATATTTTATGTATAAAATTTTAAGAATTTTTTCTAGATATATGTACAGTCAGCAATTAAAAAGTGTACGTACGTTTTTTTAAATGGATGTCAGAATGCAACCGAGTGATTCTTAAGTTGGAAACACAATAGGCTATAGAAATAGGAAACAGAGAATAACGAACCATCCGACTAAAATTCCGACTAATCGGAATTTTAGGATATAAATTCGATATTATATCCCAGAGCTCTGATTAGATGGCTCGTTATTCTCCTGTTTCCTGTTCTTATTGCCTATTGTGTTTCCAGCTTTACCCAAATAGCCAAAGCAGGCGCTGCAAATTTATGCTACATATTTGATGTTTTCTAGCAAGCGACACCCGTATAAAAATATATTATTATTGTGTCACTAATGCAATAAATAAATTCAACAAGTAGTGTAATAGTGGAGAAAATTTCATTAAAATTTCATCAAGCTGAAGTTTTAGTGTGAAAATAAGTATTACTAATTAACGCAATAGTTTACGAGATATTTAATTGTTGTATACGATTTTTCATGTTCGTTAATGTACTCCTCTTTCATAAATTCGAGTAGCAAGAATAGTTTAGTAAAAATAGAATTTTACCGGAAAAAAATTATAAACCACCATTTCTTTTCACGAAAGTCTCGAAAGGCTATCAAAAACGAAATGCATATGTTTGAGACTCAAGACTTGTGAAGAAAATATGCGAAAAAATCGAATAGTTACAAAAAGCACGTTTTTCGCTTATAAAACGAAAGATACTGATTATGAAAAAAATTTCGGTATAAAAAATGTAGATATTCGACATAACTACAAAATGAGACGTGAAATATTAAAATCGATCTATTAGTTCAGTAGAAAAAAATACCGTATAAAAAATACCGAAAAAGATCTTTTTTTTCACTCGTGCTCTGTTCATTGAGATTTAAACGCAAAGCTTTGAAATTCTCGTAAAATGTAGCCCTCGTAATGATGAACAGATCTAGCCCCGAACAAGCCTGAAATGTTTATTAGTTTTTGCAAAAAGCTATTTGGTCATTAAAAACTGTCTGCAGAAAACTTAATTTCTTCATCTTTGAGCAGTCGCACAGCAATTTACAGGGATGATTTTTCTTCTTTAAGAATTGCACTATCACGTTAATAACAAAATTTTTTGCAGTCAAACTATTATAAAACGACTTTATAAAGATGGATATTTTTTTCCATACAAAAATGAAAATAATTCCGTTAATAGGTATCATATCAAATATAATAGATATGTGAAACATTCGACATCTGACATTTTTCTACGAATTTAAAAAAAAAATGATTATCCTTCGATTATTAGAAATTGAAATAATAATTTTTTTTCAAAAAATCACTGTGATTCTAATTTTTAAGATTAAGAGTTCCGTTTGGCACCAATTTGTCAAGGAAGAATTGAATTTGCTGTTGAAAAATTCTCGAATTTTTTGCTGTCGAAAAAGTTTGTTTAAAATCATTGGAAAGTTGAAGAACGCGAGCGAGGCAGTGCGCCGGGCGGAGTGAGAGAAACCGGCGCGCAGTCAAGTGGAGAAGATCGAGCTGCTCGGCGATTCGCGCATATTTGATTTCATGTGTTAAAATTTACTAAATTTTTTCAGTAATAAATTGACGTGGAAACCTGATTTTTTTTTAAATCTGAGGTAGCTCGACGAGATATAAACAAATAGCTTAACCAAATATTTCGCAAAGTAATTGTAATCATCAAATTTTTAGTTTTTTGTTTCTTGAATTTTTATTTTTTCGATTTATTACTAAAAAATCACGTTTGAGTATGGAGTGTCTTAATAAATTTAAGTCACATTAGCTATGTTTTTTTATTTAATATGCTGTAAGAAGTGTCCAATTGAACAATTAAATGTACGAAATTATCAGTACAAAATTGTTTTTGTGAATTTAATTGCAGATGCAAATATGACATATGTAATTAAATAATTAATTTCACAAAAACAATTTTGTACTGATAATTCCGTTCATTTAATTGTTCAATTGGACACTTTTTATAGCATATTAAATAAAAAAAACATAGCTAATGTAATTTAAATTTGTTAATCAGACATGCATTCCATACTCAAACGTGATTTTTTTAATAATAAACCGAAAAAATAAAAATTCAAGAAACAAAAAATTTTTTAAATTAAAATTTCATGGTTACAATTCGAGATTTTCTCTAACAGCAAATTCTTCCTTGACAAATTGGTGTCAGACGGAACTCATAATCTTAAAAACTAGAGCCACAGTGATTTTTTGAAAAAAATTGTTATCTCGGTTCCTAATAATTGGAGCGTAATCTTTTTTTTTTCTAAATTCGTAGAAAAATGTCAGATTTCGAATGCTCCACACGGCTATTTGATATGATACATATTAACGAAATTATTTCATTTTTTTATATGGAGAAAGATACCCACTTTTTAAACTCGTTTTAATAATAGTTTAATTGCAAAAAATCGTTTTATTATTAAGTGTGTATGTGATAGTACAACTCTTGAAGAAGAAAAATTATCCCTGTAAATTGCTATTCAAAGGTGAAGAAATTAAGTTTTCCAAACAGGTTTTAGTAGCAACAAATGGCTTTTTACAAAAACTAATAAACATTTCAGGCTTGTTCAGGGCTAGATCTGTTCGTCATTAGGGCTACATTTTACGAGAATTTCAAAGCTTTGCATTTAAATCTCAATGAACAGAGAGTGAGTGAAAAAAAGGCCTTTTTCGATGTTTTTTTTTCTACTGAATATGTAATGGGCGACCCAGGTCTCGTCTCCAGTGACTATAGATTTAAGGAAGTCATTTCCCTCATCTCTGTAACGGTCCAAAAATTCTTTACCTGCAGTCACTCGTGTGGCCTTGTGTAGAGGAGTCAGTTCTCTGGGAACCCAACGGGCGCAAACCTTGCGAAATTCGAGTTTTTCTGAAACGATCTCATGGATAAGACTTCGGGATATCTCTGGAAAAAGGTTGTGGAGTTCATCTAAAGTTAAACGACGATCATTGCGAATCGCATTTTCAATTTTTGTCGTCAACTCATCCGTGATAAGGGAGGGTCTGCCTCTCCCACTTTCGTCTTCAAGCGAATGTCTTCCTGCCTTAAATTCTCGGACCCATCTCCGCACCATAGATTCACTCATCACACTCTCTCCATATACAGAAACAAGCTGTTTGTGAATATCAACCGATTTAAAATCTTGAACAAAAAGAAACTGAATGATGCCGCGCAAAACAACTCGAGAAGGAATCGGAATGGAGGTGGCGGGACGCGAAGTGGAGGACTCCATTTTGATAACCTCTCCTGACCGTGTTTCACGAGTTACTGACGCCGAACACCGCTCATTCTATTCGGTAGCTTCCCCTCTTCAATGCTGTGTTGCCAGCTCGCTCATACATCGACCTTACTAAACGTATAATACAAACGGAACTTATTTTCTGGATAGCCCTCGTAATAGAACTAATAGATCGATTTTAATGTTCTACGTCTCATTTCGTAGGTTTCAAATATTTATATTTTTTATACCGAATTTTTTATAATCAATATCTTTCGTTTTATAAGCGAAAAATGTGTTTTCTATTCGATTTTTTTTCGCATATTTTCTTCACAAGTCTCGAGTCTCAAACATACGCATTTCTTTTCTGATGGCCTTTCGAGACTTTCGTGAAAAGAAATGCTGGTTTATAATTTTTTTCCGATAAAATGCTACTTCTACTGAACTATTCTTGCTACTCGAGATTATAAAAAAGGAATATACTACATAATGAGCATGAAAAATTAAACAATTATTAAGCGAGCAATCTGCTATTTGCGAATCTGCTCAGAGAGCATCTGTCGTATCTTTAATGTGTACGATTTGTATCGAAGGTCCTCTTCAGCAATTCGATGCATTGTTGGTTTGCTTACACCAACAATCGATGCTAATTTTCGCAGCGATGGCGATTGCCCTGGGTCATCCGAAATCAGCATTTGAGCTCTTTCAACGACTACGAGGGTCCTCACGGTGCGTTCTTTCG